CTCCGCCGCGCCGCTAGGGGGCAGCGCGGACGGATGAAGGAGTCCGAGCCAGAGACAACGAGATCTGGAGCTGCGCGGAGCAGGACGCCGAGCATCCTGGAGCCCAGCTTCAACATGTCAGTACCGCCCCCTCCCCACGCGCGGCGTGTCCGTCACCCTTGTCCCCCGCGCTTCTGTCCGCTCCCTGCGTAAGGTCACGTGGCTCTGTCGCTCCTCTCGCTCTCCCCGCGTCTGGGGTCCCCTCCCGGAGCATGCCGAGCCACACCCAACCGCTGTCAAGTTTTCCCTCACCTGCAACCAGCCACCTGCGAGCCCCTCACCTGCAACCAGCCACCTCCGCAGCAGCCGCAGCCCTTGACCAGGAGGGAGGGAGCCCCAAGATCTGCATCTAGACCAGGAACCCCAGGCTTCCCCGCGGGTTTAACCCCTTCGTACCAACCACCACCCCCAAAACGCCATGGTTCATGGCCCACTGGGAGGGAGGAGGAAACCGAGGCACAGGAGGGACAGGGCCGCCTATCTCTGAGAGCCCAGGAACCCCGCCCACGGTGGGTTTGGTTGGTACGAAGGGGTTAAACCCGCGGGGAAGCCTGGGGTTCCTGGTCTAGATGCAGATCTTGGGGCTCCCTCCCTCCTGGTCAAGGGCTGCGGCTGCTGCGGAGGTGGCTGGTTGCAGGTGAGGGGCTCGCAGGTGGCTGGTTGCAGGTGAGGGGCTCGTAGCCTTCGGAGTGGACTGTGGCGTGAGGGGAGGGGCGAGCTGTTACTGACATTGGCCTCAAGCCCGGGGGGCTCCTGGGGGGCTGGGGAAGGGAGCCAGGACGTCTCCTCTGGTGAGAAGGTGAGTAGAAGAGTGGGGAGCAGCACGCCTCACTCAGCCCCCACCATATGCCAGAAATCCCCCCAGCATGGACCCCCTGCCTGCAGGGCTTGGGGCAGAATGGGCCAACAGTGGGGTTTGGGTGCAGGAGGTCGGGCCCCAACCTGGTGGCCGTTGGACCCCATGGATGTAGGAAGGAAGCTGTGGTCCTTATCTAGAGCGGCTACGGAAGACACCCCAGCCGGTGGGGAGCCAGGCTCGCAAGAGCCCCAGTGTGTGTGGCCGTGAGCAGGGCCCTGCTGGTACTGCTGAGGCCCTGTCTGAGGGGACAGTTGGCTCCGTGACCCTCCGAAGTGTCCTGAGAGAGGAGGTGTGATTGTGGACGCACAGGTTGGACTGAAGCCGTTCTGGCTTTAACGATGGAGAAGGGGCCATGAGCCAAGGAAAACAGGTGCCTCTAGAAGCTGGAAAAGGGCAAGGAATGGGTTTTTTCCTGGAGCCCCCGAAGGGCCCAGTCCTGCAGAACCTTCACTTCAGCCCAGGGAGACCCATTTCAGGTGTCTGCCCTCCCAAACTATTACAGGAATACCTTTGTATTGCAAGCACATGCGCGCACACGTCCTGAGCTGGGCTGGGCAGTGTTGGGGAGGGGCCGTGGCTGTGTGTCCCAGGCCAGGAAGCCCATCCAGGGAGGGGAAAGAGCCTGATGGGTGAGTGAGTGGCACAGCAGCCCCCCGCCCCCCGCCGGTCAGTTATGTGGCGGCATGGCCCACGGGGTTTAAAAGTGTGGCCTGGAATTCGGGGATGGGAGGAACTCCTGAGGACAGCCATGTTGCCTCTGAAAGGAGCCCTGGGTGGCTTTAAGCAAGGTGGTCATTGCGTCTGCTTTGCATGTTCTGCCTGATGGCCAGCCAGTCGCGATGCTGTGGGGCTAGATCAACTGTCCTGGGGAGGACAGCGCTGCAGCCAGAGCAGCCGGGCCAGGACTCAGGCCTCGGTCTCCATCCAGCGCGGGGCAGGGCACCTGAACCCATCCCACTGAGTCCACCCCGCTCCCCCCCATATAGGTCCCTCCAGTTCACCTGCACTATCAGGTGAGCTTTGGAACAAGGTGCAGTCCTCCACTCCTTTGCTCTAGGGCAGTGGTCGGCAAACTGCGGCTCGCGAGCCACATGCGGCTCTTTGGCCCCTTGAGTGTGGCTCTTCCACAAAATACCATGTGCAGGCGCACACGTACAGTGCGATGGAAACTTCGTGGCCCATGCGCAGAGGTCGGTATTTTGTGGAAGAGCCACACTCAAGGGGCCAAAGAGCCGCATGTGGCTCGCGAGCCGCAGTTTGCTGACCACTGCTCTAGGGCACATGGCTCCCCGGGCACTCTGTCCACTCGTCCCTGCCCCAGCCCATCCTCCCTCCTGGCACAGCCGAGCCTGGCTGGTGTCCACAGCAGGAGCACCTTGTGGTCTGAGGAGATGCCACTTCCTGGAGACCTTGGCCTGAACCCCCAGCCTGGCACTGAGCCACCTGCAACCTGAGATATGAGCCCGGCTCCCAGCCTGACCCTGACTCAGCTGAGCCGGAGCTGACTGAGCCTCGCTGCGCCGACCCCTCCCCTAGACCCTCCCCACTGGGTGGAGCTGATCCTGAGTACCAGCCGGCGGCGGGCTGACTCTGGATCCTGCCTGCCAGCTGGCGCTGACCCTGCGATCCAGGCTGGCCAAGCTGCCCCAGGATCCTGCACACCAACAGAGCGGACCCGGAGCCCCAGGCCGGCTGCGCTGACCCCGGGTGCTGCATGCCATCCAGAGATGACCCCCCTTCCTGGCTTGACTGAGCTGACCGTGGACCCCCCACACCAGCCAGAGGAGACCCGAGCCCCCGGCCTGGCTATGCTGACCCTGGAGCCTGTGCACTGCCGACCTGAGCTCCTGGACGCCTGCGCCGACCTCATCAACGAGCAGTGGCCGCGCAGCCGCGCCTCCCGCCTGCACTCCCTGGGCCAGTCCTCCGACAACTTCCCCCTCTGCCTGATGCTGCTGAGCCCCCACCCCACGCCCGGGCACCCCCCCATTGTGGTGGGACATGCCCGCCTATCGCGGGTGCTAGACCAGCCCCAGAGCCTCCTGGTGGAGACAGTGGTGGTGGCCCGGGCCCTGAGGGGCCGTGGCTTTGGCCGCCGCCTCATGGAGGGCCTTGAGGCCTTTGCTCAGGCCCGGGGCTTCCGCCGGCTGCACCTTACCACCCATGACCAGCTGCACTTCTATGCCCACCTGGGCTACCAGCTGGGGGAGCCGGTGCAGGGCCTGGTCTTCGCCAGCCGACGGCTGCCCGCCGCTCTGCTCAGTGCCTTCTCCAGGGCCCCATGCCCCCGGCCACCCTGCAAGGCCCCTAGCCTGGCTGCCCACACTGCCCCCAAAGCCTCCAAAGGGCCATCATTGCCGGCACCCCCTCCCCTGCCTGAGCCCTTGGCCACCTCACCGCCCCCTCCACCCGGGCTCTCCCCACCAAGCCTGCTGGAGACGGGGTACCATGACCTGAGAGGAGACCCCATATTTTGGATGGAGAAGGACATCTGAGGGGCACCTGGGACAGGGCACCATCTTTCTGGTTCAGTGGACTCCCCAGGACAGTCCCAGCCTCAGCCCCTGGCCCCGGGGGCAGCTGAGTGCCGGTGGGGTGGGGCCGGGACATGGCTCCCTGGCTGGGGCTCCAGGCTGTCAGTGTGGCTGAATAAAGGCTTCTGTTGGGTGTGGCTATGACAGTTGATTTGTTGACCCCCACCCTCGCCTCCCAGGCTCATCTTAGGTCCCGGTCCCTGCCGGAGCCCACGTCCACTTCCGCCGTGGACGGAGGGACTCCTGCCTTTGCCCCTCCCACTCCGCCAGGCTCAGGAGGAAGGTGTCTGTTCTCTTCCACATCCACTCACTCGTCACCACTCCCTGAGCACCTACTGTATGTCAGGCCCTGGGCTGGGCACAGGCAATGGGGAACTAGACCGACAGATAGGATCTTGACCCAAGGGGACAGAGAGATAGGGAGACAGACAGCCTACAGTGGCAGGATGCATGCTGGGACCAGGGGAGCCCGTGCCCTCACACCACCTGGAGACCCAGGAGGCCTCCCGGGGGAGGTGGGAGAGACCTGAGTGCTGAGTAGGCAGGTGGGGCTGAGGGCTCTGGGGCAGGAAAGAAGGTGGGCGGGCGGAGGGAGGGAAGGAAGGACTGTGAGAGCTCCGGGTGGGGGTGGGAGGCCAGGGACGGAGAGCAGTAGGGGAGCGGCCCAGGCCAGCGCAGGGTGTGGCTGCTCTGAGAGGCCTCCGGGACCCCTTGGGGGCCATGCTTTCCCCTCTGTGGGGAGGGGCTAGGGACGCTCTCCCCGCTTCCCCTGCTGTGTGGAAGGCATGGCCTTGGACTCTAAGCTCACACCCTCTCTCCTGCAGGTCCGTTCCTGGGGCAAGACCATGCAGCTGGGCGCGGCCCTGGTGCTCGGGGCGGCCCTGTGCCTGGGGTGTGGCCAGCCCCTGGCTGGGGCCCCTGAACACCCCTTCTCCGTGCTGTGGAACGTGCCCTCGGCACGCTGTAGAGCCCGCTTTGGTGTGCACCTGCCACTAGCGGCCCTGGGCATCACTGCCAACCGTGGGCAGAGTTTCCACGGGCAGAACATCACCATCTTCTACAAGAACCAGCTCGGCCTCTATCCCTACGTGGGGCCCAGGGGCACAGCTCACAATGGGGGCATCCCGCAGGCTGTGCTCCTTGACCGCCACCTGGCACGCGCCGCTTACCAGATCCGCCGCAGCCTGAGGCCCGGCTTTGCCGGCCTGGCGGTGCTGGACTGGGAAGAATGGTGTCCACTCTGGTCTGGGAACTGGGGCCGCCGCCGAGCCTACCAGGCAGCCTCGTGGGCGTGGGCACAGCAGGTATTCCCGCACCTGGGCCCCCAGGAGCAGCTCCGCAAGGCCCGGGTAGCCTTTGAACAAGCAGCGCGAGCCCTGATGGAGGGCACCCTGCAGCTGGGCCGGGCACTGCAGCCCCGGGGGCTCTGGGGCTTCTATCACTTCCCGGCCTGTGGCAATGGCTGGCACGGTATGGCTTCCAATTACACAGGCCACTGCCACCCAGCCGCCCGTGCCCGAAACACCCAACTGCATTGGCTCTGGGCCGCCTCCAGCGCCCTCTTCCCCAGCATCTACCTCCCGCCCAGGCTGCCGCCCGCTCACCACCAGGCATTTGTGCGACACCGCCTGGAGGAGGCCTTCCGTGTGGCCCGCTCTGGGCACCCCCACCCCCTGCCGGTCCTGGCTTACGCCCGCCTCACGCACCAGGGTTCTGGAAGGTTCCTGTCCCAGGTGAGTGAAAGCTGGTGTGCAGTGGGGAGGCCTGGCCCTGTCCTAGGAAGGTCTGGGCAGAAGACCTTGCCCAGGGGGGTGGGAAGGGGAGGGTCTGGTTCTGAGGGGGGCAGTCCTATCCTGGTCATCTGACAGGCGTGCCTCTGCCCTGGAAGTCAAGGTCGTGGGGAAGGCACGGCCAGCCTTTGGTGCCCTGATCTGAGGGGAGACATTCTCTGAGTGGAGGGCCGAGAAGCCACTCGGGCTCAGTGCCAAGGGGCCCTACTCTAGAGGGGGAATCAGATTGTGGCACGGAGTCAGGAAAGTTTCTGGAAGGTGGAAGTAGGCCCAGGTGGGCTTGGCCAGCTCAGCCCGGGCTCAGCAGCTCTCTGCCTCCAGGACGACCTCATGCGGACCATTGGTGTGAGCGCAGCGCTGGGGGCAGCCGGCGTGGTGCTCTGGGGGGACCTGAGCCTCTCCAGCTCCGAGGTGATCATTGCCCCTCCAGCTGCCACGCAGCCCATGCTGGGGCTCCCAGGCTGGGGGAGAGACCATGCCAGGGCCACGGAGCAGGCACACTGATGCGTCCCTCCCCTTTCCTCAGGAGAAGTGCTGGCACCTTCATGACTACCTGGTGGACACCCTGGGCCCCTACGTGATTAACGTGACCAGGGCGGCCACAGCCTGCAGTCACCAGCGGTGCCATGGCCATGGGCGCTGTGCCCGGCGAGACCCAGGACAGCTGGAAGCCTTCCTGCACCTGCAGCCAGATGGCAGCCCTGGAGCCTGGGAGCCCTTTAGTTGCCACTGTTACTGGGGCTGGGCGGGCCCCACCTGCCAGGAGCCCAGGCCGACGCCAGGGCCTCAGGAAACAGCATAAAGCCAGCGGTCACCTGCTGTGACCCTCTTGTCCCTGCTGCCATTTCGCAGTCCTTGAGGATTCTGTCTCACTCTTGTTCTATTTAGCTTAACAGTCCTCTCATCCACACACCCTACCTCCCATGGGATCCCTGGGGAGTGGAAGGGGCCAGAAAAAAATTTCCACTGTTTTAAAACCAGAGGCCCTCTGAGATCACCTGACCCCTGCTACAAAGGCAGCTGTCCTAGGGAGAGAGTCAAGGTTCCAGATGGTTAGGGTGCCAGCCCAGGGCTCTGTCCCTACACATCACTGGGTCCATGGAGATGCCGAAGGAAGGGGACCTGTCCAAGGGCAGGTGGGTCTCAAGATCTTGACTAAGGTCTGTACGTGCTAAACTGCTGTCTGTACTTTGCTTTCATCATAAAGTCACTCTTTCCTTCGCTGCCTGAGGTTTGGCTGTTCTCTATGTTGTCCCACGCCCCATGCTCATCGAGGCGCGAGTGTCCGGCTGCAAGTGTCCTGCGTGGTGGGCGGCTTAGTTTCAAAGTTAAGGATTGTGCGCGTTTGCAGGTGGTGTGGGTGGGGAGGACACAGAGCATTGTGGGTGCATAGTTTAGCCGGAGTCGTGGGCTTAAGGGTTACGGGAGTAGACTACAGTTCCCGAGATGCCCTGTGGACAGTAATACGCGCGCACAGCCCCCTGGGAGTAGTAGTTTCGGCCTCGTGGCTGTGGGTCTGGACCGGATGGCCAGGAACTCGCCTTCCCGGCAACCTGTGTAGCAGGGCGGGGCGCCTCGGCC